TGTTTCGACAATCTACCCATCCAGGAGCTCGACGCCTCCATCTATCATATCTTCCATCATCTCGTTCAATCCCTCCCCATCTACACGACCAACGCGCAATGCCGCCCAAGAAGATCCCCAAACTCAAAGAGAAGCCCCAGGCTGACCACCCCGTCATTGACCCGACAGCCATCCCCCCGGCGCTGCCTCCGTCCGTCGAGGAGGCGTATCGCCGGAAATGCATCCAGCTCAAGCAGCGCACGAGCGAGGTCGAGGACGAGAATGATGCCACGCGCGTCCGTCTCGCCCGCATCAGGCGCCAGGTCGAGAAGATGCGCCTCGAACGCGCCATGCTCCTCGAGCAGCTCACCCGCCGCATCAGCACCAACGTCGAGGACTCTGACGGCAGCCCCAGTCCACCACCCACTGTAGGCGACGACCTTTACTTCCCCGACAATCTCAACCCCGACACCCCGACAGGCCATGGCCGGAGACAAACTGCCAGAATCTTGCTGACGCCCTCCCAGCCGAAGGAGAAGCCCCTGCGCACCAAGCGCGGCCATCGCAAGCCCTCCCTGCTTGCGGACATTGACGCCGCCGCCACCAAGTCCGCCGCCGCTTCGCCCTTGGTCAACCAGCATCCCGTCACCCAGTCCCCGAGCTCCGAGACCTTCTCCCACGCACAAGGCAACGCCGATTCGGCCGCCGCTGCCGCTTCCGCCACGACCAACGGGGTCTCCAAGCCGCCCCAAGCGCCCCGCCAGTGCGTTTGACATGTACTGCGAAGAATCGCGCCCCTGCCCTGCAGAAGACGCGTGAGGACAAGCCCGATGAGGACGCCACCCACACGATCGAGGAGGAGCTCGCCCGTGGTTGGAAGGATCTCTCCGACGACGCCAAGGAAGCCTTCCAGAGCCGCTACGACGATGCCTTGGCCCAATACCAGAAGGACAAGGCCGAGTACGACGCCTCCAAGGCAGCAGAGACCGCCGCCGCCGCCGATGCCGCCGCCGGCAGAACGGCCGCCTCGGCCGAACCCGAAGCTGAGACCAAGGACGAGGCCGCCGAAAAGAGCGAGAGCCTTCCCGAGGCACTCAAGAACAAGGACGACGAGGACGACAAGAACGACAAGGCCGACAAGGAAGATGAGGCCAAGGCGGCGACCGAGGCCGACAAGGCAGCATCGAAGTCTCCCGTTCCGACTCCAGCCCCAGCCCAGGACGAGGACGTCGAGATGACCAACTACGACACCGAAGAGGCCGAGGGCACGCCCGCTGCTGACGACAGGTAGGACCTGATTCCCCCGTCACCACCGTATCGTTCCAGTTGGCGATTCTAGGCTCTTGGTTTTCCGGTTCGGCGTTCCGGTTTTGGTCTTTGTGAAGGGAGGACCTCGGTCGGGCCGCAACAGCATCACGCCGGCCCCACGTTTGTATGATTATGTTTATCTGAGGGAGCCTTTGCTGCCCGGCCTTGGTCTCTTTGTATCAGGAGAGGAAGAAAAAAAAACCCAGTTGTTTGATGATTTCGATTCCCCGCGAAAGAGAAACAATGATCGCTTCAATTACCATTTCCTGTCTGCTGTTTGCGTGTGGGCTTGCGCCTCGAAAACGCCCTTTCTGTCTACGAAGGCTCCGATACAGCCCCCCCCCCCATGCCCTCAGGCGGAACGCCGGCAAGTGCTGTGTCCATGTTCGGTTCCTTGCCCCAGATCGCCTCTCCTGCCCGAGGCATTCGCGAGGTCCCCTAAAAGACGACGCAGGCGACTTGATAAATACTACACAAGCGAATACACACATCCTACGCACCCCGGTGTCTGAGCTTACTCCCCGGCGTACAGATCCACCACAATGTTGATCGCCGCAACGACAATTTCCGCCGCGATCAGCACGATGACTGGAACATGTCAGCAGGTGTCCAATCGCCAACAAGATGGGTGAAAAGACTGCAATAGAAGGGCGGGAAGCCAACTCACCGATCCACTCGAGCTTCTCGCCGTGGCCGTGACTCAGCTCTCCCTTCAGGACGGCCAGCAGGTCGGCAATGACGTCCAGCCTCTCCGTCAGCAGGCCCACGCGCTGGTCCATCTCGAGGTAACTCCGCACGGCCTGGTAGACGGGTTCCAGCTGCGGCTCGACCCAAAAGAGTTCGGGCGTGTCGAGGACGGAGCCGTTTAAGTGAATGTTGATGCGGAGGATGAAGAGCTCGCCGATCTGCATGTTGATCTGCTTGCGGCTCAGGTCGATTTTGCCCGTGTTGGCAATCTGCGTAGGAATATCCTTGCATGTCTCCACCGTTGAGGCGATCAACTCTTCGAATAGGGATGTCTGCTGCTGTCAGTCTCGGGGGAGGGAAACAGATGAACCAAGAAAGAAAAAGAAGGCACGTGGATCGTGGGTCGTGTACTGTGGGACGCCCTTACCTTGACGCTCTGCGCGAGCGCGTGCGAGATGGCCAGCTTGGTCATGTAGTTGTTCTTGTCCCGCAGCGTGATAAAGTCATTGTAGATGCGGGCCTGGTACTCCCGCGTGTAGTAAAAGTTGAAGAACTCGGCCTCGACATCGTCCGGCGCCAGCTTCTCGTCTCAACTTGAGATCTCCTTCAGGAAGCGCTTCTCCTGGTCGAGCGTCATGCCCCATATCACGACGACGCCGTACTCGAAGAGAAACACCTCGGGCGTGTGTATCTCCGTGTCGAAGTCCTGGCTGTTCTCGATCGGCGCCTCAATGTCGTGGGCGCCGTCGTGCAGGAACCCTTCCTCAAAACCCGAGTCCTGCGGGCCCTGCGCGGCGAGGTCGAGGAGGCCCTGCCGCTCGAAGCCGTCGGAGAAGTCGCCCGTCGAGTGGCGCCGCTCGTACGCCTGGACGGGGTTCGGCTGCGCGCCGACGCGGCGGTCACGCCTGTTCTCGACGCTGTGGCCGTAGGTGTACGCCGAGTAGAGGCACTCGTCGATGAGTTTCGGGTTGGCGCCCCGTGACTTGCCGCGGCCCTTCATGAACCGCATGAGGCCCTCCATCTCGTACTTGTTCGCCGTGCTGTAGGCCGTGACGCGCGGCAGGCGTTCGCGGTCGGCCTTGCCCAGACGTGCCGCGTCGCGCCGGGCCGTGGGGTCCTTGATGCGGGTGTACTGGGAGTAGACGTCTCGGCCGCTCTCCTCATCCTCCTCGCCGGGTTCGGGATTGGGCAGGAGCTTGAGCTTCTGTGCGTTCTTCGTGCTTCGCTGAGGACCAATCTTGGGCGGCAGCGGAAGAGGGAGGGTGTTGGACGGGGAGCCCTGGCTGTTTCTCCTGCGCAGCTTGTTGTTGATGGAGGAGATGGCCGAACTCTGGCCCGGGGAGGCCGTGGCGAGGTGGAAAGAGTGAGAGTGTCGGGGGCGCGGCTGGGCTGGTTCTGGTTCTATCGTCTTGGACACAGGATTCTGGTTGAAATGTAACATTGCGGGGCCGTCTTTTGGTCGTGTCGATGTGGGAGAGGAGGCAGGTGGGAGGAGCGGCGTATTCTCGCTGGCTTCGCCGGAACTTGGGGTCGTCTGATCGTCCATGCTGATCTCTGGCTCAGGAATTGCTGGGGTATCACGGTGGTTTGAGACAAGAGAGAAAGAGCGCACGTCGGGGCGTGAAGGCAGAAGAACGATGAATCAATTGGGTTCAAAGCATGTCGTACAAGATATCGGCTCACAGCGGGAGGGCAGAATCTCCGTCGGGGATGGTTTGACGTGGAGAGCTGCTGAGCAAGGACGGGGGTTAAGAACGTGCGGCGTAACAAATCGAGAGGTGGACGGACGCACCTAAGCACAAGTATGGATGACGTCTGAAGTCATTTTCTGCATTGGGACTGGGCTGGAGCTTGAGCCGGTTGTTTGGCTGGCCACATGTGCGCGTGCCCCGCTTTCCCACACCGACCCTGACCGACAGGCAGTCTGCGAATTATCGATACGTGACATTCCACTATTTGAACATTCTGGTTTCAATGCAAAATTGTCAGATTTCAATAAAAGGTCCGAGGCTTGGATCATATAAGACTGGCGTCGGCATGTACTACGGTCTGGTACACTACTGGTCGGTTTCCTGTGCCTGCTGTGCCACCATGTGCTCGTGAATGGACGCAAGAGCCTCCCGATCGTGGAACATCTCGTCGAACCTCTTCAGCAACCCTTCATTATCTGACAAGCATGTCCTGGCTTCGTCCAGAGATTCATACACGACGCTCCGTTCAAATTTGGCATCTTGCATCCTCTTGAAGCACACATTGTACTTCTCGTGCTTCTCAGGATCGAGTTGTTCCTGCATTGACAGTGTCACAAATCAGCAGGCTGTGCAACATTCACCAACCTTGCGCAGTGGCCGGACGAAGACGAACCTTGATATCTTCTGAGAAGTGAATCCCAGGAACCCACCACTGTGTATCTGGTTTGATGTCCCAGTCTGGATGCTCTCGCCGAACCTTGTCGATGTGTGCTTGCATTTGCTCGAGCAGTTGCTCCCGAGTTGGGGACTTAGCTGGGTCGAACTGGGACTGTTCTTTTACAGAAGTCATTGTAGTCACTGGAGCAGGAAGTTTCAAGTAAACACAATGATCCAACGCGCTGGCACGAATGGTCGAGACCACTGGATCTGCAAATCCGAGTGAATCTATGAGGATAAATACTAATGAAGGATGGCACGACATAATCAGGCTCCGGGTGACTACGAAAAGCTTCCCCGCATCCATGGGCTGTGTGCAGCACTCGAGTGTCAGCTGCTCAGTCGGTGGATCATCCAAAGAGCTCCTGATCGGGCCTGTTGTCGTACCACTTTGGTTGTTGGCCATCAGGCACCGACCTTGGCAGGCGATCCAACGCACTCTCACACCCACAACAGCAGCCCTCCCACAGACATCTCGAGACACAAGTGTTCGGAGCTTAGACAGATCAAATAGTGAAACAAGAAAAAAGGGAAGCAGGCAAGACAACTGGTATAGCTTAGAGGAGAAGCTAAAAAATCAGTGCCCCTCAGGGCGTCATCAACTTGACCTCCATTTTCAGCCCCGCGTCACCCACTCTATCTACAAACTTTTGCCCCAGGCAAGAAGCTGTATACACGCCACCAGGCAGCTCCAGATTGTCCTCGAGAAGTGAAAGCGCGCCTTGCGCCATCATCATGCCACTCACTGCCATGTTGTCAACTCACAGACCTCCTCCAAAGCGTCAAGATAGGAGAACTCACAATCGTACATGCTGCCGTCGAACCAAAGACGACTGAAAGCAATCTTGTCTGACTTGGCATCACATCAGGGATGGCAGTCGCCCGATACTCGACCCTGTCTTTCTTGCCGTCGGCCTTGGTTGGCCCCTGTCGGGTGTACACGAACTGTGAGCAAACACGTCGAAGCGGGTGCCCAGATGATTATGCCGAGAACAGAGCATGTGAACGAAAACACCGTTGTGACGAAACCGCACCCGAAAGTACTCCTGAATGAGAAATTGGGCCCGTAGGATTCTTGCTCGTTGAGGGATGTGTGGAGACCCATGATCTCTGCACGATGGCGGCATCGGTGGTGCCAGCGAGGGAGGTGGTCACGGTGCCAAGTTCGGGGACATGTCGGGCACCAAATATCTTCGTGAGAATGGTATCGCGCGATGGGGCCGTGGTTGGATTGGGGATGGGGGAGAGGGCATAGGGCCTGAAGGATGCCTGGACTTCTTGCATTGTGAAGTTATCAAGCAGAGTGAGGACTGTGGCCAAGGTACCCCCAGACGGAGCGGCACTGAGTCATTGCATGTAAGTATCAATGGACATCGCTGTGCGCAATGAGAAACTCACTCGAGGGTGTGAATCGAGACTGTGACCTCGCCCGTTTTGGCAGAGAGCTTGTCGCGGATAATCTTGGCCATGGCCCACGTCATGAGATCGGGAGGGGCCGACTCAAGACCAACTTCTGGAAACATCAAGGCGCCGCTGGCCTGAGCGGCCTTGCCATACTTGGAGATCATCTTAGCGACAAAGGGCACCTCGCCCGTAACGTCGAAGTAGTGGGTGCCATTCTCAGCACAAGCCTTGAATGCATGCTCGCCATATTTTCCATAGGGGCCGACGGCTGAGATGAGAACAAATGTCTTCTTTGCAAGTTCTTGCAAGTCTCGGTCGTTCAGATTGCAGATCTCAACCTCTGTGATGCATGTAAGCGTGTGCCTACCAGTGTCATGCGGGAGGTGAGACGGGTCAGACGTCAAAATCCTAGCACCATGGTGCACGCACCTGGTTGGACTCTGTCAGGGTTCAGCTTTTCACAGTCCGCAACGACCGTCTGGAGCTTGGATTCAGAACGGCCAGCAATAGCCCATCGAAGGTTGGAGGGGAGATGGGTTGCTATGTGCTCGGCTGCAAATTGGCCGGTGTAGCCTGCGAGTCGTCATGTCAGCGGAATCAGTCTTTATGAGAGGCCAGTCCAATATGGCCACACCTGTTGCGCCAAAGACGACCACATCGTACTTCCGGCCATGTTTCTTGAATACCATGATCAAATTGAGAGTAGAAGTGATCTTGTGCGGGGAGGTTGGCTCGACAGCTGGAAAGTAAAGTGCTGGATGTTTGTGTCGCAGGTTGCCAAATAGAGGGGGGGCAGATGGGGTGAGGACCTACTTATCCTTGGAATAAGTAGTTCTACGACGTCTTCCTCCAAAGCCTGTATCCGTACCTCTCCGACATATCATTCTTGAAAGGGCCATGAAGACCGGTCTTCTCTTGAGGAAGTTTATTTACTTATGAACAAGGTAGTAGAGCTGCCTGAAGCAACCGTCTGTCTTGTCTACACGACAGTGGTCATTTTATCGCTCGACAGTCATGCCATTTCAGTGAAGTGACTAGATTATGCTACTGATGCACTGCGTGTCACTCCGTAATTGAGCCATAAATTGTAATCGACCTTTGAGGAGCTTGATCTTCAAGGCCCTAGCAATATCTGGGGCATCGCCTCTCGGTTGGAAAAACGAGTCCCAAGTGCTGCAGTGGTGAGAAAGGTAATCTCGAGATGGGGCGAAGACGCTGTAAAGCATTCCGAATGCGACCAGCTGGCGGCAGCTGGGAATACTGAGACTGACCGCACAGGTCACGTCAGCTCGCTAACCGATAAGATAGAAAGCTCGGACCACGCACATCTGGCTCCGCACAACAAGCCCTACCACAGAAACCGCATCGACGGGCAAAATTCTTTTCGTATGTGAACCGCGCCTGACGAACCCTTCTTCAATCAACCACCCATCGTCGACAACTCCCTACCGACTACCCCCTCCAACATCATTCACAATGGCCAAGCGCACTAAGGTTCGTCGGACTCTAAACTCACCATAGGCACACTCGCCAGTCGTCGATTATCGTATGCTCTCGAAACTCCGTACCCCTCATCCAAGTATTCAATGTCGAATCGGGATTCTGACCCGACCCGGACCGCGACTACCCTGGAGCAATGTCGAGAAACATAGCGAGCACCTACCTGAATGTCAACACCGGAGATCTCGACTTGCCACCGAGAAGAACGCTCTTTGTGGCTTCCCGACCAGCGGTTTGATATTATTTATCAAAGTCTCCTTAAACTGGAATGCCGTTATGCAACATGTGCCTCGAGCACAATTACCACATTCGGGACCGAAAGCATAGCATCACACGACTTTGCTGTCTACTGTCGTTTAAGACAACAACAGTGAAGGTCTTCTCGACCGACGACTCGGTGGTCACGGGAGCACTGTCGATTCGACACTTGAATACTTGGAACGGACTCGAGCAACGGATCACGACGGACGGGAGCCCCTTGAGACCATAAGCTGACCCCCACCACAGAAGGTCGGCGTGACCGGAAAGTACGGTACCAGGTACGGTGCCTCCCTGCGTAAGCAGGTCAAGAAGATGGAAATCTCCCAGCACGCCAAGTACACCTGCACCTTCTGCGGCAAGCCTACCGTCAAGCGCCACTCCACCGGTATCTGGAACTGCCACTCCTGCAGGAAGACTGTGTATGTTACTCTCCAACGTCGGTTCGTTGCAAGGTTGACTGCTAATATCTCCACAGTGCCGGCGGTGCCTACGTCGTTGCGTACGTTGTCACGGACATCATACCCCCTCGTTCATTGACCCGCATACTAATATGCTCTCCACAGCACTCCTGCCGCCGCGGCCATGCGCTCCACGCTGCGTCGCCTGAGGGAGATTGCGGAGGTTTAAGCGAAAGACGATGTCTGGTGGACGGTTTCTGCTTTGCATTTTCGGGCGGTGTATGGGAAAACCCGGGTATTGCAGCCTACATCTTCATGAGGACGGACGGACCCGGTCTCAATGGTCTTCGGTCAGCTGCCCATAGGCACCAAATGGTCAGCAATGGAAAAAAGGGAAATGAACGAATACCCGACCAGCAGCCCGCTGGCCCCAAACACGACTTGATGCATGATGAATCTGTCTCTAAATCTCGTGACGATGAAATACATCTTGACTGTGACGTCGAAGTTTGCGTAGGCACCGTGGGCCATCACACGCTTCAGGGCCTTGTTCATTTTAGTGATAAAGAGAGCACCTCAGTTAGCGGTACCCAAAGTGTGGTTGATGCCCGCAACTCCTGAGACTTCTGTTAGGTATGGATCTTCAATCTTTGAGACCATACGAGTGCTTGCAAGTATCGGACCGCATCGGGTACTTCGAGTAGCGCGGTGCTCGAAGATAGTCGTCTTAACCCAAAGATATTCAGCTTCGATAAGTTTGCGCCCATATCCCCTTGGAATACATATTTTGTGGCTCTAAAGACCATGAGGAACCTTGTGGTATACCTTATGTAAGCCGAAAACCGTCTTGTAAAGCAATCATGGAAAACGCCAACCCGCCACCCCCCACCTACGCATCAGCATGAACTGAATCTACAAAGATGGGGAAGAACGACAAGAAGCCCGCCGGCGATAAAAAGGCCGGCAAGGGCTCTGACACGAAGGATACCAGCAAGGTCAAGGGCGCGCAGTCCATTAACGTCCGGCACATTCTGGTACAATGCACCCACACCTAGTCTTTCAAGCCTTCGCCCTACCTCGCTAGTTTTCACAGACACCATACTAACAACATGCCAGTGCGAGAAACACGGCAAGAAGGAAGAAGCATTGGCGAAAATCCGTGACGGAGCCAAGTTTGACGATGTAGCAAGGGAATTCTCCGAGGACAAGGCACGTCAGGGAGGCTCTTTGGGTTGGAAGAGCCGGGGAAGCCTGGATCCGGCGTTCGAAGAGGTGGCATTTGGGCTCGAGGCGAGCTCAACGGGCAGTCCCAAGTGGGGAGAAGCCAAGACAGGATTCGGGTATCATATTATCATGGTGAGTTGCACCGTCGCTCTTTGTTTGAAGAGTGGGCCATGAGCTGCCAGCTCCGGAGACTGTTTGTTAACAATGAGTGTTATTAGGTCGAGGGGAGGAAGTGATGGTTTTGTATTCTCACCATGGGATGGCATTCCTGATCAGACGTGAGCCCTCAAACATACACGGAGTGTATGTTTGGTATTTGGCACGCTACACATTGCATACGAGGCTTATGCCCATGTTGTTCAATGATTCCAAAAGAGTGTTGTGATACGCCTCTGCTAGCTTTAAGTAGCGATGAGGGGTTCTACATTTGGCTGGGATAAGCCTCACGAGTTCCAACTGTTCGTCGTGTGGTATACACGCTCAAGAAAGCATCATAGTCTTCTGCACAATGAGTTGCGAGACACATGCGAATACACTGTACTGTCGAGATCCCCGAGTGAGGTGCGCCCTGACGGGCATTTTTTGTCTTTTTGTCTTCCATACGTAGTCATGCCCAGGTAACCGTCATGATGCGCAACGCCAGCTGAAAAAAGCTAGAGTACAACCCAAATCGTCGCAGCGACGGATGAATGCCACATCCACACTGCCTCTATACCCTTCCTGCCTTTGACGCCCATCTAAGCCCGGTGATCTGTTTACTGCTCGGTCTGGAAGTAGTTGAGGAGGATGGAGCGCTCCTGCGACTCCTCACCCCAGTCCTTGACGACGACGCAAGAGCAGTTGACAACCTTGCGCGCGTTACCCTCACGGTCGAGGACGCCTGAATATGGCATTAGTTCGTGTCCATAGCTGGTAGTGGATGTGTGCAAAACGTACAGAGACCGGCCCACTCGCCGAGCTGCTTGCCATCGGGAACCTTGATCAGGGGGATCTTGTGCTCAGAGCAAAGGGCGATGACGAGCTTCTTGTAAGCCTCCTCCTCGCAGGCCTCGTTCAGGACGCACATGTGGGCCTGGCGACGGTCGAGGGCCTTGGAAGCCTCACGAAGACCACGGGCAAGGCCGTCGTGCATCAGGGAGAGCTTGAGGACACCCTTGAGGGCATCCAGGACGGACATCTGGCCCTTGGAGCCGCTCTCGGCGGAAACCTCGACCTCATCGGCGACCTCGGGGGGCGTTGTTCTCTTCTACGTCCGACTGTGATGCGACAGAGCGCTGTTAGTCATGGCTCCTTGGGAATATTGTGTGGTTGATGGCCGATGCGCGGGGTTCTTCCAGGCGAGAGCGAGGCCAGCAGGCTGCCCATCCGTCGTCTTGTACCGGGGAGGGTATTTGGCGGCGTTGCCGGGTCTTCACAATACCCCGCGCATGCTATCTTCTCCCGCACAATACCAGGGGTATTCAGCAAAACTTACCATCTTGGCTGATTTTCGGTGCAAGTGGCAGTCGGTGCGATCCTCGAAGAGTGTTGTAGTTGGTGTATGTGGTTATGTAGTAGTAGGGTTACAGGTGACCTCTGACTTTTGTCAATTCGCGACTGAGGCGGAAAGGTGGGAGTGGATGACAGTGCACGCTGAGGTTTGTGTGCCAGCCGTCACGAGTGCTGATTGGTGCATGAGGTGGATCTAGGGCAATTTTTCGATTATTTTCAAGGCGCACCGAATTTGGGCGGTGTGCGACCCCATCTCGCGAAGCTCGGCCCTCTATGGCTCTGTCTTGACTTTTTCCCCCTCTCCACCCAACTTCCTTCGTCTTTCCTACTCTACACCTTCTACGGAACTTTTGCGAGGTATGTATCATCAACCTGGCCCGCTTTGGGCACTTGATTGAAGCAGGACGGCACATGCCTTTTCACGATGGCAGAGGAGAGCAATCAGAGGAGTCGACCATAGCGAGCGAAACCGACAAGGGGTGATATGCGCGCAAATGCAGTGCGAAAGCTCTTGCATCGCAGCGAGCCTCGAGGCCACCCGACTTGGAAGCACGCCGCAACGGGACGATGATGACCTCTGATACGCTTCTCCTCTTCAGCACTGAGCGGCAGAACCCTCCTTGCGACATGCGTCATG